AGGATTGAAAAACAAAGAGGTTTTGAACACTGCTGCACTTGAGTGGCTTTATTTGCCATAGTAAATTATTATTAAATTGGCTACATTGTTAAAAATACTCCATAAATGTCTAAATAATACTTGCATGGTAGTGCAATTTTATTGTAAAACTTAATTTGTCCTTTTTCCAACTTGAGTTGTGCAGAATCCATCTAATCTTCCTGGAAATACACAGATGAATGATGCTGCTGTGCTCATGCTCAAACACAGCACAGAGTTAATTATACACATTTCCACAGGTTGTATTCCCATGAAGAATAAAAACACCAACTGAACCATAAATTAACATTTTTTCCTCTCTGATTTTCTGTTTCCACCAGCAGTTACAGAAAATCCGCAATCAAAGTTATTTAGATATACACTATAATTTCACTGAATATACATGTTAAATATTATTCCTTCTCCTGATGCAAAGCTGGCCACTTTCTTCATATAACCTCATTCTTGGCATCTAATCAACGTGAGTGACCACCAGGGGGCAGGCTGGCACTCTCACCCAAGCAGCAAGGGACGTGTAGCATCAAAGCATATCAGGCCGAGTAACAAACCTTTAAAGTTGTGTAACAGTTTTTTGTTGTGCTTTTTAAGCAGATCTATTTGTTGTGGGTTTGGGTTTTGAATGGCACTGAAATAGCTCTCCCACCACAAAGTGACCACTTGTTTCCTATTCTGCCGAGCAGAAAGCCTAAGCTAGCTTAATGTTTGAGTGATGAATGAGCAAAGTGCTCGCCGTGTCCCTTCCTTTCTTCTTCCCCTATTGAGAGGTGATAGATCTCCTCCGGAACCTCTTACCCTCCCACCATTGTCTTTTCACCGTCCTTTTTGTGTGTCTGACTGTGATTTGTAATCCTTGTCTTCCACCTCAGGCAAACTGGTGGCAATTGCAATCATCGATGAGAAGGACCCCACAGAGGAGAGTGGCAGGTACAAAAGAACACTGAAATTAAAAAGCATGACTCTTATAAATTACTCCCACTCTCACCACAATAATTGAGCTTAAGTGCATGGCTTTCAAATACAGATAAGACCATTATTGTTTGCATCTGCCCACAAATTGCAGCCAACAGCTAAAAAAAAGGTTAGACTCCAACTCGTGTGGTATTTCTCTGTCTTCTAATTTGCTTTTAGATTAAAGACCTTGATGCAGAGGGTGGCAAAGGAATACCGGGAACACTTTAACAGGTAAGGCACGGGTAAATGATGAGGTCAAAGACGGAGATCCAATTTATACATTTATTCTAGGATGTTGCGCTCACTGGGGAACGCTGCCTGTCTACTCACAAGCAAGTTATACCTTTGTCAGGGCACGTCTGTTTTTGTTGAGGTTCAGTAGGAACGTAATTATGCAAAATGTCAGATTCCAAATATAGGTGTTCTTTTCAGCTGTCACTCAGAAACACAACTCGGCTTGTATTAATGCATAATTTTCTGTTTTCTCTGGCTCCAATTGTGTGATAACAACTGGAGATGGGGTATTTATGTTACGCGCTGCGCTGCTCGACCTGTTCTTTTACAGGAGAGGAGCCAGAGTAACAAGGCAAATGAAAGGATAAAAAAAACACTTGAATGCATAATTTCACACTGCCACTATTGTTATTTTTGCTCAAGTGCGCTATAGTCGGCAAGTCATCCTTCCCCTACAGCACCCAGGTGGAAGCAAACGGGTTTTTTTTGCTGAAGTGGCTTCAGGTAAAATGAGCTCAAAGGTTGCTGTTCTTTATGTGACCCTCATTTCTGATCACTGTCAGCAGGGAGTCAGTCACCAGGTGGATTACCACAAACGATTAATTAAAAAAAAAAAAGTCCATCACATTTGCATAATGATGCAGTGCTTTAGTTCCTCGCTGTGTCCTGTCATTGACCGCGTTGCTTCATCAGATACATTTCTGCTTTTGAATGAAGAGGTGTGTCTCAAACCGTAATGATAAA